AGCGAGATTTCCTATCCTATTCTATATACTTTTTTGAGTTATACCGAAACTATCTCCACCTATTAAACCACCATATCTCTATGTGAATTTAATAAATAAAGATCCATTATGTCTCGTGAAATTTCCTAATTTACATAGGAAATTAAGTCCACATATCCCTAGTGCTACACAAATCACGTTGATCTACCTCTAGTTTTCGTTCAATTCATGATACTTATAACTAGAATCTATTACATAAAATCTCCTCTCAATCTCAATTATGTTCTCCAAATCAATTTTAATAGTGGCCAATCACTAAATGCATTAAGAACAATAATATATATTCTAAATGAAATAATAAGCCTTCAAAGTATAAAAATCACAAAATTCTATATCAAATTGACTAGGCTACATCATAGCCTTGAATGACTAAATTAGTTTACAATAAAATAAAAGAAAATCAAAAATCCCATGATAAACATAAGAGTATTTGACATTGTAAAATAAAATCTAATTTAAGGGCAAATAATACCAGCTTGGCGATGTAAAATTTCAACCCTCAATCTTCTTTTGATGTTAAGTTATGCGTTGCCGTCTCTCTTGCTCTCCAAGAACCCCAAAGTCTAGTTTTGAATAGGCATTTATAGAGTCTAGGAAACACTATTAGAAAAGTAGGACCCGTGACAAAAAGGGGAACTCTTAAAAGCTGAAAGTGTTTACAGTGATGACACAATAATGTTGGTATTGACACTTCTACTTAGTTTATCGATGCCTACTTTCCAAAGATTGAATGTGAATTTTGATCCCTCAACTATACAAAATGTACTTTTTATAATCATTCCAATAGTTTATTTGTTAACTTTGTCCATATATGCACATTTTTAGTCTATTAATTTTTAAGTTGAGGGACAAAAATTATGCATGTATTATAAGTTGAGGGATTAAAGATGTGCATATTTAGATATACTTAACGGATTAATTGACGGAATGACTAAAAAAGTGTATTTTTCATAGTTGAAGGACAAAAAAGGTATAAAAAGTTGAGAGACCAAAATTGTGTAAATCTAAAGTTGAAGGACCAAAATTGACATTTAACTTTTTCTAAAGGCATAGCGCATGGAGACAACACCTGATGCGAAACCTAATTCCGGTTTTAGCATTTGCCATTTCTTCAATGGTAAAATTGCAGATCTAGCCCTCCAGCATCTATATGATGAGCCCTTTGATCTCATAACTTCGAATTCATTCATTAAGTATTTGAAAACAACATTTCTTCTCCCAATTCAGTCACTCAACTTTCAAAACATATTTAATGTGTGGTTAGCAAAACTAATTAATGCTAATTATAGACTAAATTATTTTTTTTTATTGGTCTTAATTAAAGTAATTAGATTTGTCTAATTATTTTAATTAGAGTCTAGTGGATGTGATTAATTTATTTTAATTAATCTTGATTAAGGCTAAATTAATCATTTAATTAAACCAATTATTGCAATTAATTGATTTTAAATTACCCACTTTTCTTAGTCAAAGTCAAAGTTTAAAAGGTCAAAATTATCTTTTATTCTATTTTAATTAGTTAAAGTACCATTTTGGTCCCTCAACTTTCTACTTTGGCACCAAAATTGTCCCTCAACTTTAAAAAGTACCAAATTTATCCTTAAACTTTCATTTTCGGTACCAAAACGGTCTTTCCATCAGTTAAATGACAAGTGTCATGTTAACTTGCCAACAAATCAATTCTATTTTTTGCTTAACTAATGACATGGAAAAAAAAAAGTATAATTGGCCATCTTTCTTATGAGTTGGCATTTTCATTTAATTTAAAAATAATAATTTCTTTTTTTTTTTCACCCACGTCAGATTTCTTCTTCCTCTTTCATTTTCTCTCTCGTTTACCCTTCCTTTTGACTTAACCTCTGCAAACCCGGTCCTGGATTCTCTCTCAAACTCCATCTTTTTCTTATTCTTCTTCTTATTCTCTCTCTTTCTTTTCCTTCTTCTTCCTTTCTCAAACCCAGATCTGGGTTTCATCACATAAATTAACAATCTGATGAAATTGATGATAATAAAAGAAACAATACAAGTCATTCCATTATATTAAATATAAGCGACAAAGCCATCCAAACTCATCTATGGTAAAGTAATGCACCAAAACTCATAATCAAAATTCTAGGGTTTTACTTTCCCCCAAATTCACAATAAGTGAATAGTAGTCCCTATTCCAAACACTAAAAAGCAATCATGAGAAACACATAAAATATCTCCGTAACTTCGATAATTATCTCACATCTCCAAATGCAGATAAGAAATCAAAAACAAAACACTGTACTCGATGTACCAAACCCAGTAAACTCACCGCAATATCTCCAATAAACAGGCACTAACTCAGCTAAAATTCGTTCAAAGAGATCCAAAAGTCAATCGAAAACACCAAATACAAATTAAAGCTAAAACATACCTTATTCTCCGCTAGTTATCAGGCTCGAACACTGAAGTTAGGAGAGATGGAAAGAGTAAGCAACATGAGTCGAAGAAGTCATCTAGAAGGTCAAAGATTGATCGATATCGTCTCTTCTAAAAGGAGGCAGCTACGAAGGTGGTGGCGACGGGGGTTGCCTCGGTCTCCATTTTCGACGACTTTCACTACCGGTTGGATTTGATGACACAAGTCACAACTGCAGACCTATCATCTTCTCGGGCCAATCTGGGTTTGAGAAAAACCCAGATCTAGGTTTGAGAGAAAAAGAAGAAGGCCGACGGTAGTAGTAGCATCGTCCATTCCAACGCGTAGGTGCTGTGCTCGCTGTCATTGACGGCGACGATCATCACATGCTTCTCGGCCATTTGAGAAAAAACTAGATTCAGGTTTGAGAGAAGAAGAAGAAGGCCGACGGTAGTAGTAGCATTCTCCACTCCAACGCGTAGGCGCTATGCTCGTTATCGTTGATGACAATGATCATCACATGCTTCTCGATCGTTTGAGAAAACCCATAGCCAGGGTTTGCAGAGGTAAGAGAAAAAGAGAGGTAAAGGAGAGAAAAAATGAAAGAAGAAGAAGAAATCTGACGCGGGTGAAAAAACAAATTATCTTTAAATTAAATGAAAATGCCAACTCATAAAAAAAAATGGCCACCTATACTTTTTTTTTCCATGTCATTAGTTAAGCAAAAAAAAGAATTGATTTGCTGGCAAGTGAACATGCCACCTGTCATTTAACTGACGGAAGGACCGTTTTAGTACCGAAAATGAAAGTTTAAGGATAAATTTAGTACTTTTTAAAGTTGAGGGACAATTTTAGTGCCAAAGTAGAAAGTTGAGGGACCAAAACGATACTTTAACCTATTTTAATTTAACCCAAAACTTGCATGATTGAGCAATTGGTCCATGAGTTTTAAATAATTTTAGATTAGTCCTTCAGATTTCAAATTTTAATCAAATCAGTCCCCCAACTTTAATTTGTTGCAAATGTAGGTGCCAATTCTTGAGTTGGTCAAATCAGTCCAAAAAGTTTTGAAATGTTATGCTATCAACCATTTACTTTCCAAACCTTAATTAATTAAGACCTAAAGAAAAAATGAGTTGAATTAAAATCCCAAATGTGAAAGTTTGCAACCTTATTTTACGCATAGGATTGTGAGGTGCGCATATATCCTTCCTCGCTCCTAACCGTACCCTCGGACCTCAATCTTTGCATAGACCATAATTTAGGTGACTTGCCCCACTTATAATTTGGAAAACTGACGACTCCTTTTTTCTTTCTCTTTTTTCTTTTTTTTCTTTTTACATTTTTCACTCTTAATTTTTTATTATTCTCAGATTTTGAAATTTTTAAGTGATCGTCAACAACTCTTCGAATTAAAAAATGGATTGGAAATTAAGTACGAAATGTAAAAGCAAGGAGTCGTCACTCGCTCAAATTATAAAGCGTGGCGAGTCACCTAAACATGATATGCACAAAGATCAAAATCTAGGGATGCGATTAGGTGTGAAGAAGGCCATGCATGCTCCTCACAATTCTCCATGTGAAACACGATTTTAAATGAATTAATCTTGTTTATTTTCAAATAAGCCTCATTTTATTTTCAAAATCTTAATTTCACCCAAAATCTTTCTTACTTTATTAGTTAGTCCTTAGGTTTTTAATTTATTCAAAATCAATCCTTCTAATTTCAAATGATATCAATTTGACCCAAAACTTCCAATTATATTCAATTTTGCGTAAGATGTTTGAAGTAATTCAGTTAGATCTAAAATTAACTTTCGAAACCTTTCATTTCCAACCATTTCTTTTACAATCAAATCAATTAAATCCTCTAATTCAAATTCATTTTAAATAAGTTAAATAAATTCTAAATTTTAAAGTAAGCAACCGTGTTTTACATGGAGGATTGTGTGCCCTTCTTCACTCCCAACTGAATTCCTAAGCCAATTAAGTGACTTGTTCGACATCTTAATTTGGACGAGTGACAACACCTATCCGTCAATCATGAAAGCTTACTTTTTTTCAAGTTCATCCTTTTTGAATTTCGAGTGTTTCGTCAACAATATCTAGCCTATTCTATTGCAAATTAATGTCATTCCATCCCAATGAAGGAGCCGAACAAAAGAAAGCAAATTTCGTAGCCAAAGGATGTGAAAACAGGATTGTAAAGCGAATGGGATTGTGAGCACTATTGTCAAGCTCTCAATTTTGGTTGTGAAATCATACGATTTCATGATCTCAT